CGCAGAGCCACTAGCGGTCGACCGTAGGAACTAGCCGTTATAGCTAAAACTCTCTGTACTTTTCATGGTCGACCGCCGAACTAAGTCCGGTCGACCGCGAGAAGCTGCTTAGTTCCCAAACTCTCTGTACTTTTCACGGTCGGCAGCCGAACCAAGTCCGGTCGACCGCGAACTGATACAAAACATACACAGAGTTTTAAAACAGGTTTTTTACTTTGGACAATTGTAAAAAATTATCAAACAACTTTCAAAAGTTGTAAAACTGTGGAGAATCTTTTTAAACAAGAAAACAAACTTGTTTGACAAAGGATTTTGCAAAAAGGTCCTTATACTTGTGAAAACTCATTCTTTAGCAAAATTAACAAAATGTGAGTTTTGAAGGTGTGTGTGTGTGTTATCCCAAGAGCTTCAAATGCAATCTATCAAACTACTTGCCTACATTAAGCACTAGAGAGAAATAAAAATACAAATATCCTTCATATATAAATATATAGCTTGAGTCTTGATATTTGCTTGATTTTTGATGAAGCTTCTAATTTGATATTGTGCTCTTGATAGCTTTGCTTCACCAGTTTGCCTCCACCTCCTTGATTTCATCGTTGTAGCTTGATAATTCATCCAATCCTCTAATAAAGGTACTAATGAGCTTGATATTCTTGTAATCTACAATATCACTCAACAAGCAATTAGTACTAATAAAAGGTACTAATGAGCTTGATATTCTTGTAATCTACAATATCACTCAACAAGCAATTAGTACTAATAATGGTGGTTGTAAATCTCAACAAGCAATTAGTACTAATAATGGTGGTTGTAAATCATCATCAAAACATAAAGGCTAACAATCTCCTCCTTTTTTATGATGACAACCAACCATTATTCAAGAGCAAAATAAAATTAAATATATAGCTTATAGATAGTTGCTCCCTCTATCAATAAGGCTCTCTCCCCCTAACTATGTGCACAAATGAGAAGATTTCTCTCCCCCTTTGTCACCATAAAAAATAGGGTACATTCCTCAAGTGTTTTGGATTTACGACCTTTCCCAGGCATTACTACCAACCCACTCCTCTTGGAATTGACTACGGTCTCTCCCAATCACTCATCTTGGCAATTTTGTATGTTTAGACATGTTATAACAATGAGTGCGTAAAGGAAAATAGTGGTTTATGAAAATGATAATCCGAACAAACAAACAAACAAACAAAAAACTCAAATAATGCACATGCCCAAATCATTTCTTATGCGACAAAAATCTTCTTCACAAAGAGCCTTGGTAAAGATGTCTACTAATTGAGATTTAGTATCAATATAGATAAGGGATACATCTTTTCGCTCTACATGGTCACGTAAAAAATGATGGTGTATATCTATATGCTTAGTTCTAGAATGCAAACGGAATTTTTTGAAATATTGATAGCACTAGTATTGTCACAAAAAAAATTTGTGCCTTGAAAATACAAATCATAATCAACCAAATTTTGTTTCATCCATAAAAGTTGTACACAACACAAGCCGACGGTAACGTATTCCGCTTCCGTAGTGGACAAGGCAACACAATTTTGTTTCTTGGATGCCCAAGAGACAAGAGAGTTACCCAAAAATTAGTACCACTCGTACTCTTGCGATCTACCTTACAACCGGCAAAGTCGGCATCACAAAAATCATAAAGATCAAAAGAAGTGCTTTTTGGATAAAATAAACCAAGATCTATTGTGTCATTAACATATTTGATAATTCTTTTAACCACAATCAAATGAGACTTTTTAGGAGAAGCTTGAAAATATGCACATACACACACACTAAACATGATATCTCGGTAAAGCTTTTGGTCTACCTCCTCACCACTAACATCCGCATCAAACTTGAGACTTGTACTCATGGGAGTTGGAGCATGCTTGGAGCTCTCTAATCCGAATTTTTTCACCAATTCTCTAGCATATTTGCTTTAAGAAACAAAAATCTCACTCTTAGATTGCTTGACTTGGAGACCGAGAAAGAATATAAGCTCTCCCATCATGTTCATCTCAAATTGGTCTTGCATAACTTTTGAAAAGTCCTTGCACAAAGATTCATTTGTGGCACAAAAAATGATATCATCAACATAAATTTGAACTAAAATGAAATCATTTTTCCGTTTTCTAACAAAAAGAGTATTATCAATT